TGTTCAGCGCCGCTTCACATGCGGGTGCATGCGAGCGTTGGTTGAGGAATGTTTATTGAGGCCAACGGATTTGGGTATGAGCAGATGTTTCTTGGGCTAGATCAGAGGCTTAGGGACTTGTGTATGAGCATTTCAAGGCGAGATGTTTCTTGGGCTAGTTCAGAGGCTCAGGGACTTGAGTAGGAGCAGTTCGAGAAATATTTCTTGGGCTAGGTTAGAGGCTTAGAGTGCAGAGGTGTGTTGATCATTCAGGGAGGCGTTTCGTCTCAAGAATGGAAGAGATACATACATAGTCCTCACTTGAATCTACCTTAAAACTACTTTGTACTGTGTTTCCACCTTCCTTTTTTCCCCCATGGGGGGGGAATTCTGTAACTTAGTATACATTTTATAAGACCATCTACAAATGACATATATATGTAATCTCTTTCTGGAAAAAAATGTAAACATGCATAGTAGGACTTCTCATAGACTTGCATGAGTGAGCACTATGTATGTATGCAGAAACGAACCCACGTGCAACGGAGTAGAACCCACAGACGTACATATCATGCCTTATTAGGGGTAAGGGTAGCAGGAGCGGTCTAGTCATTGTTGATAACATGTGCAACATCTGATTGGCGTGGTCTGCGCAGATGTAAGGATGACGAGCGTTTTTCGAAAAGTCTCTGAAGTTGAGAGATGCAAGTTTCACTCCCCTAGGGAGACTCTCTGAATTCTCTGTGTATCCGCGCATGCGCCCGCACAATTAGATATGAATGTAAGCACTTCGTGGTTGGTATGGTTTCAAGTGTCGTGGCTGACAATTTGTGTAGCGTCTCAATTGGCATGGCCTGCGCAGATGCGCGGATGACGAGCGTTTTTCAAAAAGTCTGTGAGCTTGAGTGATGCAAGTTTAGATCGCATAGGGAGACTCTCTGAATCCTCTGTGTATCCGTGCATGCGCCTGTGCAATCGAATATGTACTTTGTAGGTGGCATGTTATCTCGAAGTCATGGCCGATGACAAGTGCCGCATCTATTTAGCACGACTTCAGGGAGATGCTCGCAAAGCCCCTACAGCGCTTCAGCTCGCACTGCACCTCTCTAGCCTCGAAACCATTTGCGTGCATAAGCATACCGACACGCCTTGGGCCGAGAAGACGCCCGTAGCTTTCACCATAAGTAGCCAGAAGGCGTGCACGGAACTCCTTGGATGTCACCTTCTCCGACGCCCCCACTACACAATGCTCTTCGACGAACCGCTTGACCAGCTCCGCTGCCTGGCTGTCGCCCGATTGGGCAGCATCTTGGACTTGCTGCTCGAGGGCTACTTCAATACCTTCACCGGCATCCGCCTGCTCCTCCCTTCCTTCAGTGGTGTCTCCCAGCGTCACAGAGCCCTCTCTTGGCATCTCCTCTGTACATTCCGCAGTGGTGGACACATGGCAGTTGGACAGAACCATCGCAGTGCTGCAGGCATCCGAGACCGTTCCCGTTTCCTCATGATCCCACCCGTCCAGCAGGGGAGCTGCTGGACGACTTGCATGAGGCTCTGGTGCTGCGTGCCCTGCTTGCGTTCGAGCTGAAAGCTTGAGCTCTTCCATCCTCAGAGCGTAATCCAACTCAGCCAAGCGCACCTTGGCATTGATCTCGGCTTGTCGGGTCTTCTCCTTTTCCAGTAAGACCTCCTTGCACTTCTCGTTGTTGCTCACTCCACCCACATAGAGGTGTTGGATCGTGTGTTGGCTCTTGTGGGCAGCCCTTTCAGCAATTGCCAGGACTGTGTCCTTGTCCACACGTTCCGGCAAGTGTATGATCTATCGATGCACAGTGCCTCCAACCTCCACATCCTGGTGAAGTTCTTTGATTAGAGGGTCCTCTTTGAAGGAATCCTCTGCATCCTTTGGCCGATCCGCTTTCCAAGCCCACTCCAGCCGGTAAGTGTAAGGGTCCTTGAAGTGATTGCGATGCGCTATGTTCCGCTTCTGGAGGTTGGTGCTGCAACCGTACTTGTACAGCTTTCCATTCCACTTTCGTTGATACACGCAAGATAGAGGCACCCTTGCTTGTCTAGAAGCATCTCCAATGCCTTCTCGCGTGACTCGACTGCTTTGAATGACCGTAGAGCCTCAACGTATGCATTTCTGATTGCTCGGAAGTACCGGCGAATGCTGTTACCGACGGCCGTCTCTGTCTTCATGGCCAGGTCCTCGAAGCAATCCGTCGTGAGAAAGTATCTGTGGGACGGACCTCCCCCCGTGTCTCTCTTAACATTGATGTTAAAGTCTACGCCTTCCGTGTACTTTTCCAACCGGCGTAGTGCGCTTCCTTTTGTGCTGTACTCCAACCACTGCCAGGCTTCTTCAAAGGGAAACCGGGTACTCGTTGCCGTTATTATGGAACAGTCCAACGAATATGGACCCCAAGCGGTCCGTCATGCTCCTTTCGAACCCCTGGGATATCGTCTTTAGAGTGGACGGGGTGATAATCTGCTGACTCGCCATCGTTACGGGTGGTCCTGGAAGAATTTCACCCGTTTCAAACGCATTCGGCCACATATTTCACCAGCTTGCATCTTAGTCGGATGCCGATGCCCTAAGTACCAGTATGTTAGCTCTTGACCGACTTCGTGTGGCCTGCGCAGATACACGGATAACGAGCCTTTTTCCAAAAGTACCTCAGGTTGAGAGATGCACGTTTAGCCTTCCTAGGGAGACTCTCTGAATTCTCCGTGTATCCACGCATGTGCCTCCGCGGTTGCACACAAAACCACTTACATATGTGGTATGGCGTCTAACAGCTGACTGTCTTGCGCATACGGATCGATACTTAAGGCAACAGTTCAGGCCAGGAGTGGTAACTTCTGCCCGGGATGGAGGCTGCGTCAACACTTAGGGCGACCGTTCCGGCCGAGAAGGGCAACTGCTCAGCTGACATGGAGGTAGCTCTTGCCGACCGCGTGCTCGCACACCCAGCCGTCCGGGCCATTGACGTGAGCCAGCTGGAGGGCTGGGAGGAGCTAGGGAAGGTTTTTGTGAAAGCTTTTGATGACAAGGGCCAGCGCTACCCAATCAACTTCGACGACGCGTATACCTGGCTGCAGTATGGCAGGAGAGACAATGCCATCCGGGCTTTGAGGGCTCGCCCCGTGGAAGACACGGACTTCACACGGATTGAGCATGGCTCGACTAACTCCCTCCTCGCTCAGGAGGGAGAAGGATTACGGAAGGGCCCAGCTCCAGAGAAGTACTATCTCACTGTAGATGCCTTTGAGAGGTTTGCGATGGCGGCACAGACAGAGGCCGGCGAGCGAGTTCGAGCTTTCTTCAAGGCAATCCGGGACGCCTACCTGGAGCTTACTACAAACAGGCAGCAGCCACCCATCGTTTTGCAAGAGAACCCTCCGCTTGGAAGGAAGTCGGGCGTGTACATCAGCACAGAGGTCTTGCTTGCAAAGGAGAAGACTCGACAGGCCGAGGTCGAGGCAAACGCGCGGGTGGCTGAGCGCCAAGCTGATGTACGCATCGCCGAGTTGGACCACGAGTTCCGGATGGCCACCCTGAGCCTAAAGGTCCCTCGCAAGCGGAGTAGGACCTCCGCACGTGACCGCCAGGACGTCCAGGGAAGCTCCGACGAACCCAGGCTGCATGCTCCCGTCTCCGCACAGGAACCCCCGGATCAGGAAGTGATGCCTCAGGCCCCGCATCCGCGAAGCACGGCCGCTGTCGAGGCCGTGATCAAGCAATTTATTACCGAGCATTGCACTGTGGATCCTACTGAGAGGCTGGCCTCGAGCTCCTTCCTCGAGAGGCTCGTTGCAATCATGTACGAGGGCCAGCGTGCTCCCTCTGCAAGGGCAGTGGGTGTGGTCATGCATAAGTTAGGGTACGAACCTTGCAAGGTCATGCAAAATAACAGAAGATGCAGGGCCTTTTTCGGTCTGAAGCTTGCTTGAGTAGCAGCCATTTTTGTATGTACGTCAGCATCCGTCAAGGACATTCTCGAACGGTAGCATCTTGATTGGCCCGCGCAGATACACGGATAACGAGCGTTTTTCATAAAGTATGTCAGGTTGAGAGATGCAAGTTTAGCCGCCCTAAGGAGACTCTTGGAATCCTCCGTGTATCCGCGCAAGCTCCTCTGCAATCGAATACGAATGTATGTCCTCCGTGAGTGGTATGGTCTTAGTAGTCATAATATGTGATAACATCTCGGTTAGCTTCAGGACCAGTTCAGCTGCCTGCTTGTTTTAGCTTGCTGCCGAGGGCTTCTTCAATTGCCTACTTTCTATGCAATGTGCAGTACTCCTTGTGTCTGGCCCAGTCCTCTCTCTGACAGTCTGCACTGCAATATCTACAGAGCTCACACCTAGAGCACTTTGAAGTAGCAGCAGACCCGCACTTTGCGCAAGCTTTCTGGAACATCGAGGTCTGCTCTGGTGGCACCTCTGATTCTTCTCCTCTCTGAATTGGGATGGGAAGCACTTGCTGTAATGTCAAAGACCGTGGGATGGACCACCACATCAGCTTTCGCTCATTGTCGACTAAGACCTCGTACAGAACCCTCAGGTGCCCGCTCTCAACATTGGGAACTACCAGCTCCATGTCAGCGGTGTGGTATAGCTTTGAGGTGATGATTGGTCCGTTTGCTGACTGTGATAGGCGGAACGTGGCTCTCACATACTTCTCCACGAGGTTCTCCCAGTAACGCTCGTGCGGGATGATGAGCCTTAGCACTGCATTGAACCGCGTGTACAAATGATCTCGGATGGTCTCCTGATTCGTTGAAAGTGATGACCAGTTGTAAAGCTTCCAGCTCTTCTCCCAGTAGGGGAGCATGACAGATACTCTTGCATCTACTCTCCGCTGTATCTCTTTAGCTCGGAGCTTGATGATGTCGCATCCTTCTCCCCTATTTGCTGTGTTCAGTGCTCTCATAACTGCCCCCAAGGAGACCCCTTCTAGCTCACGTTCCAGGATAGATGATGAGTTCAGTTGTTGGGTAAGCAACAGCAGGTTGTCGTCAGGCTGGTGAAGAAGTACTAAAGCCTCAATCAACCCCCTCCAACCTCCGTTTACCAGTTCCTCTATCCTCTCCCGCAGCGAGTGTGCCACGAGGCCTCTAGCTCTTCTCGAGTTTGACAGACTCCGGGCAAGAATCCTCGTGTACTGCGCCTGTAAGTCTGCAGCATCAGCCACCCCTTCTCCCCGCAGGTTTAGGAGGATGAGCTTCACTTGACTGAGCACCTTGTCTAGCACAGCGGCGTTGCAGCTGGGGGCAAGAGCAGCCCTAATGTTGTCCCAGTCCGCCATTAGGCCGTCTTCTTGTTAGCAGCTGCGCCTCTCTCTTCTTTCTCTTCTAAAGCTCTATCTTTGCGCCTTTCTACGTTGTTGTTGTTGTTGTCGTTATTGAGCTGACGCTTGTCCGATCTATACTGCCATAATCTGCGGCAACGTTCTGAAGCGCCACAGCGCGCGCGGTCGCGTGGTACCATTACCAATGTGAAAGCAATTTAGACCGTGCACGTGTCTTTACGCACGTGCTGAGCTTACGTTCGATGCTAGTATGGCCGATGCAGGGGCTTCTCCGGTCTAAAGCTCGCTTGACTTGGCCCGCGCAGATACACGGATAACGAGCGTTTTTCACAAAGTATGTCAAATTGAGAGATGCAGCTTCAGCCGCCCTAGGGAGACTCTCTGAATCCTCCGTGTATCCGCGCATGTGCCTCTGCAATTGTGTATACAAATACCACTTTCATGATTGGTATGGCATCTTAAAGTCATGGTGTGACGGTTGGACGGGTTTCAACGCTGCCCGTCTGCTAGACATGTGCGGAATCCATGCCCAGCTTTTCAGCCCAACTTAGGTTCACCTTCAGCAAGAGCGCCTCTCAGAAAAATTGTTGCTCTCTTGCCTTCTTCCCAAGTTCTGATTTCTTCTGAACAGTTAGGACTCACGAAGAGGCTCCTTGTTCAGATTTTGGGAAGTCTCTAGACTCGCCCCCTCTAGGGAACTTGC